ATATATATAAGTAAATAGTTACAGCCAAACTCACCATCCTCACAGAAAATTGTTGATGTTAAACTTTCTTCAAAACCAGAAATTATATTCAGCTTCAAAACTGTAAAACGCAGTTAAATCCAGTTGGACAGAACACTTGAATGAAGAAATTGTGGCGAGCACGGTGTCTTTGTGAAAGCAAACAGGAAGGAGATAAGCAGCAGCGCCTAGTTCCTGCCATCAATAACAGTTAGAGTGCATTGCACAAAAAAAAAAAGAAAAGAAAGAAAAAGATACCTCCTCACTGCTGAAAGCCTATGAAAGCTGAAGAGGGGCGGGAAGTGTCCATTTATGTGTGTTCAACATAAACTGTGGTATGAGAACCCACTGCTGGTACATTTGAGTTCCATGAAATTGTTGCTTTTGGTTTAGGAGTTTGATTTAGAATTAATGTGTGAATTGATTTGTTGTCATTATCAAATACTATCATTTAGCATTTGATATTTTTAAGATTTTTTTTTATTGTATTTTATTGTATGATATAATGTATGAGTGTGTTAAATCTGGCCATTTTCAGATAATTAAAGAGTAAAAGCAACATCATTATAAGTTTTAACTAAGCTAGGTTCCTCTTTCCCTGTCATTTCAGGCCTTATAAACTTTTAATTTCACTTTCTTTGAAGATTCTATCTGCAAATGGTTAGAAATGTGTTGCTTTATATTCACTTCAGTATTTCAAATAGACACGAAAGACCTATTACACTATCATGTTGTGCACAGTCAACTGTTGACTCTTGTAGAGGAATGACACTTTTTGCATATAGTTAAAGGTAGAGTTGAGGATTTTCGCAAATTTTAGAAAAGACCCGCCCTCTCCACTTAAAAAAACAAAAATGCACATGCACAACAGTGTATCCGCTCCAGACAGGGAACTATGTGTGAGAGTGTGCAGGAGCCAATTTCTCCTAGTGCACGCTCTAAATAAAAGTTGCTATTTGCATCGCTCATAGAAGCTTACTTTCCAAAAGAAGATTTGCAATTTTTCCACTATGTCAGAATCACCACAAGTAAGAGAAAATGGGGAGGAGCATGCAGGACAGCCTTACGTAAACATATCACCTGAACGACAATTGGGAGGACCACTTATTTAGATGATCCACCTGGAAAAAGAACATCCTCCAATTCGACTTAAAAAAACATCTACCGTTCTTGCACAGTGTGTTACATTTATAGTACTTCCTCTCCCTCTATCTCTCTCTCTGCTCCACCTGCTCCTTGGCCCAAATATGAGGTTGTTTTGACTCTGCCCTTTCCTCCCTATCCTGTTTCCCCAGTGAAGAATATCAACATATTTAAACGCCTAAATGATAGAAATGAAAACAATATACCATTTCAACATCATGTTTCACGGAGTTTTATTTGTCATTTCAACACGTTAACATTAAATAGAATTAGTTTAACATGTTCCAGAGAAGCCCAATGTCAAAGTATGAAATAAAAAGATAGCTATAAATAAGTTGAAACATAAATATTAAATAAACAAGATACAAAATGAGCACTTAGGCAAGCAAAGAAAGAAAGAAGTGAAGAAAGAC